AAAATATTTTAGAAAGTTCTCAAGATCACAAAAAGTGCAACACATTTAAAAAGGTTTAGAATGGAAAAATACACATTTTGAAGTTATTTTTTATGGAAATTCAAGGCAACAAGACTGTATAAAATTTTTATTTTATATATATAAACCCACTATATTATCATCCTGATTTCATCATCATTAAAAAGTCACTTAAATTCTCTAAGGTAATAAAAGTGATAGTTCCGAACAGCATAAAATTTAATATCTAGAGAACTGCTTACGTTTACAGCAATAAACTAAAACAAAGATGAATTTCTATCTTAAAGGCACTTCCAATATCTTGATTCATTACAATTTGATATAACCTCTCAAAAAATATTACTTTTTTCCCTTCAGCTTAGAAAGCTTGGTATTTTTATTGCACAAATGTGAACAAGGATCACCATGGTGGCCATTATGCAAAAACATCTTGTGCACAGCTCTGAGAAATGTTTGAGAGAACTCATGGCTTTTTCAAGTTAGCGGGTACAAAGGTAAAACTCAATTGTAACAGACCACAGCCCTTCCCTGCTATTTTTAGGCATGGAGTGCAAGCACTAAGGCACAATTCCTTCGCATGTTCAGAACTCAAAGGACACTGGTAGAATTGTGATTTTCATGTGGGCTAAATGCCACGCACAAAATTTAACATTCACAATCTGCACAATACCTGTACAGATTTTCAGAGCAGAAACTCACAGTCCAGCCACTTAACGAGTCCTCACGTGTCCTGGAGAAACTTCTTCACCGATTTTCAAGGCACTGAAAACAAAGCCTGAAAGCGGCTGCAGAGCCTTTGAATACTTTTATATGGCCTCAGCTGGAAAAGAAGAAAGCTCTTAATGCGACTGAGCAAGCTCACACCACCAGTGCCAGGCACAGTGTTGTAGAAGACAATCCCCACACAGATGTACTGGCCCAGTTGCTTCTTCCCACAGGTTTTACTACCAGTTAAGATTGTGCAGAGATGTTTACTTTGCAAATAGAAGAAGAAAATTGGACAGCTGCTTGTAATAGCACTTCTGCCAGAGCTCCCACCACTCTACTGAGCAACCCCTAATCCACTTTGGCCAAAACCAGCTACCTTACCATAAGCAATTAAAATAAAGCAGGCTGATTTCATCAGAAGCAGGCTTGGAAACCAACAGACCACTTCGCTGACAGAGCACAGGAGAGGTAAGAGCCATCCACAGTGCAACATGCATAGAGCTCCTGATGTTTAATCCAGCTCCAACACCATTCTCTGGTATCAGGCCAATTACAAGGTATGCTCAAAGCCTGGATCTGACGCCAGATGCATCAAAGGGGACATGGCAATACTGCAGGAGACCCATCTGCTCAGCCACTACAGCAAGGAAGTCTCTCCCCCACCTAGCTGGGAGGGCAGAGAAGCCAGGAAAGACACACACTTGCCGCTTTATCTTAGGAAGCTGATAATGCAGTTAAAAAAATGACCTCACATGAAGCAGAGAGCAGCACACACATTGGCAAATCTGCCTCACAACTATTTTGAAACAGATCATGAAGAATTTAAGAATCACTTTGTACTTAAAAGCCTAAAATTAATAGTACCACTGTGCAGAAACTAGTTAACCAACTAGTTTGTAAACCACAATATTGCAATTTCCTTAAACCTGTAACCAATATATGACTTCCTTGTAGTATTTAACTACTATGTGACAGGCTGTATCTGGAGTGGAGCAATATGTATTGGTGTAAAGAATAGCAGGGTTCTTCCTGTCTGTAAGCTCCTGTGCCATAAGGAAAAACAACTAATCAGTTTCTCAAAGACTGCTGTTTGTTGTTTTCATTAGACGATAGCAACACTTACATCCTTTTCAGTCAGAGAAGGACTCTAATCCTCAAATCTCATGGATCAGCCAGTTGGTGAGAGAATGTGTATAGACTACCTGCTTGAACAGCTGAAAATGAAAACAAAACACATGCCAAACTCCCCTCATTCTAAAAACATGCCAGGGATGCCAGCATACATGTAGCAGAAGAATCCATCAAACCATTCTGCAAAGGTTGGCAGTATTTGTTTCAAAAGGCCTAATAGTCAGATTACAGGGGTCAGGAGATCTGAGAGTCACTTCTGACACCAGCTCCTTGTGGCACCTTTTAATAAAAATAACTTGCTTTGTATTTCAGTTTCTCCCTGAAGTATCAGCAGAGATATCATAGACAGGGAGGCCAAGGCAGAAAGGTGACTCTACAGATCCCTTACGGTACCAGCATCTCCAATTCAGGAACAGATACAGGTAACAAAGGTGACCTGAGGTAACGAAGCACTCAGGAGGGGAAGAGTCCACAGAAAGGCAACCACAACCCAGAGCTCTATTCACAGCCTTTCAAACTGAGAAAAAACATGGGAAAAATTATCTCAAAAGTCCTGTCATTGTGCTGCACTGCTTAATAAACGTCAGCAGCACAGTATTATTAATACTGTATTTACAGCTTTTAATTATAGATCAAGATTTAGAGACTACAGACATTTTGATGTGGAAACAAATTCAGTAGAAACCTGGTCAATAACAAAAAAAAAAAGGAAAACCACCACCATCTTAGAATGTTAATTGTAGATATGGACACAGTCCACAGAGTAAGACACTGCAAATCACAGCAGAGACATCAAGGCAAGTTTCGTATCACCGGTAACACTGCTTGCAAAAGTCTCTAATCTACCCAGTTTACTCAGGTGAGGCTGCGCCTCAAATCCTGTGTTCAGTTCTGGGCCCCTCACTACAAGAGAGACACTGAGGTGCTGAAGTGGAGCCAGAGAAGGGCAATGGAGCTGGTGAAGGGCCTGGAGCACAAGTGTGATGAGGAATGGCTGAGGGAACTGCAGGGTTTAGTCTGGAGAAGAGAAGGCTCAGGGGAACCTTACTGCTCCCTACAACTAACTGACAGGAGGTTGCAGTGAGGTGGGGTCCGTCTCTTCTCCCAGGTAATAAGCACTAGGACAAGAGGAAATGGCCTCAAGGTGCACCAGGGGAGGTTTATGTTGGCTATTAGGAAAAATTTCTTCACAGAGAGGGTGCTCAGGCATTGGAACAGGTTGCCCAGGGCAGCAGTGGAATCACCGTCCCTGGAAGTGTTCAAACACCGTGTAGATGAGGCCCTCAGTGACATGGGTTAGTGGTGGTCTTGGCAGCCCTGGGGTAATGGTTGAACTTGATGATCTTAAAGGTCTTTTCCAATCCAGTTGATTCTATGATTCAGAGGCAGCTACAGCAAGCTCTGTACACCCAGAATGAGATCACGCTTTAGGACAAACGGACAACAAAATAAAAATAAATTAAAAGGCCTGCCGAAAGAATTTTTCTTCACAAAGCAAGAAATTCTATGAAGTAAAGTCTGTCTTTTATGCACGGCTCTGAAACCAAACTACAGCTAAAACCTGATGCTTCACACCACTTGCTAAAATTTTACATCCTCCAAGCAAAGTGCAGTGTTAGGTTTAAGTCTCAGACCATAGAGAGAGAACATCACAAATTCACGTGCATCAGAAAGTGGCAGCACTGGAAAAAAACTCTGACCTTCTTCTGCAGTCCTTTGTCTTACAACAGCTTCCTCAACCTTTTCCAAATACAGCTTGCTCAGACAATTTCTGGAGGGCTTAGTCTCAATCCTGCCACAGTAGGTTACAGGAGAATAAATTTGTCAGACTAGGGTATTGATGAAATGGAGTTACTGCCTGGAAGACATGGCAAATGTCACAAGCACTCAAACAAGAATTGTTTTTGCATAATTGCCCTTTTCTCAGTTACTTTGGTATTTTAGAACATCTCCTGGCTTACAGAAACTTGCTCAACTTTTGAAGAGCTTTCCTCTTAAGTGAAGTCTAGCAGTCTTGCTTCTATCTTACACGTGAGAAATACCTTTTCATCACTGCATTTTCTTTGCAGCCATCAACATGTGGCCCAACACGTCCGTCACATGTTGTATCAGTAGTGTTTTCTTGCAGTCACTTTTAAGACAAATCAAAGGTACAATGCTTATTTCCTTGTTTACCACCTGAGCTTATCAGTAGCAAAAAGTCTCAAGCTAGTGCCATATTTATAACCTAAGAAAATGGTGGGGTCCATAGCCATCCTGGCAGAACTTACCATTATCTATGCATGAAAAAGGTGCATATGGTATTAACCTGGGAAGTAATAGTCACCACTATCAATGTACAACAATATTCCCACTGATGTTCAGATCGTTGCTTTGGGGTTAGTTTGTGAAAATACTTATTCTTCACCTTTTCCTCTCACAGCTGGCTTTTCAAGCTTCTTCCTGCAACTTATATAGCTTTTGAAAGAATCTGAAAGAAGATTCTGGCACACAAGTGCAAACTTTGACAATAATAGGGTGCAAAATTGCCTCCTTAATACACCATTACATTTCCCTCCCCATAAAAACCCTATAGTTGCTGTTCCATTGAACTGATCTCCACAGACTTAACTAAGATGTAGGAATAGTATAAACAAAAGCCCTCATTTAAGGACAAGCACTGCTATAAGGCTCCAGTCAGGTATCTGTTTTCTTTCACAGTTTGACCAGTAAGTATAAAAATTAATTCTGCCATACTAATTTATAACTCTCAACAGAAATATCTGGTCCATTTATAGAGAAAAATGTCTTTAGGATATAGCTCAGAATTTACGCATCACACATTAACACACATTAGTCTCCTCTGTCAAAACCAGATTAGCAAATCGTTGTCCTTAAGCTACTCTATTTAGACATGAGTGGTTTTAGTCTATGTCACCTACACAGGCAGCAGGACCAGTTACCTTAGAACATGATGCTCAGGATGCCATTACTTGACCTAAGGATCTATCAAGATTTGCAATGACCAATGCATACAAAATAGACTGGAATGAAGAGAGAGAAGTTGTTACCTACAGCGCACTGAAAATTCATTTTAGTTTGCCCCAGTCCAAAAAAAAAAACAACAACAACAAACAAAACCAGAAAAGAATGAATTCCAGAAAGTTAGCTTTGCTGATTTAATGGCTGATTTTCTGTGGCACCCGGAGTGTGGGCAGGATTTGCAGAGTGTCCATCGACGTGTTGTTTCCAACAGTGAAAGTAGTCTGTAATACTTTCAGCTAAAAATACAGTACTTGCAAGAAATCCAAATACCTGTGAAAGCAAAAGGAATAGATTATTCTAAAATATGTAAACATTAACAGTATTCTAACATTGTTCGGAGAGATTTGCTGGACTACTTCCATACGTTCGTAATGCTTATATAAGAAGATTACAGTCCTTAAATCAGGAGTTTCAGATCAGAAATCGTAATTCTAGCACACTTAATGCAAAAGCTTTTTAAGTTCTCATTTTCTTAATCAAGTGTGAAACTTACAATATGTTCTAAACAGCCCTTAATAGTAAAAGTATATTAATTTTATTGCAAAAAAATAGTTATTAAAGCAGCATGGCACTTGTGGTAGAGTTATTGCCAAGAGATTGCTGCTGATTAAAGGGATTATGTAAAGAAGAGTACCACGTGGAAAGTGAGGGGCCATCAGATCTGCAGAGCCTAAGCAAATCCTTACTGGGTTAGCAAGGGGCAGATAGAATGACATTCTGTTAATGATATTTCATTAGACATGGCAAGATAGCGGTAAGGAGAAGGCTGGTTTTACCAGCTTCTTTCAAACAAGGAAAGAAACATATACATTATTCTAATTTTACATGCCTGGTTTGCCCAAAAGCAATTTGACACCAGTAAGTCTTAAATCACAATAGTCTTTGTTTTCCCAGCTCCAGAAAAAAAAACCACAAAACCAGAACACAATCCTAAAAGACTTTATACTCAAACCATTAGGGGCGAATGTATCAACATCACAGAAGATGACTGCACAAAAATGAGTATCTCTAATAGCTCCTTCTGCCTGTACACAGAATTATTCTGCTTTCTTTTCTAACTCATTTTTTCTCATTCAAGAAGAAAACTCAAAATTTGATCTTTTAATCTCACACATTCACAATTCCAAGGTTATTCAACAGAAGTGTCAAATGAGTGAGGAACTGACATCCACAGCATCTCAAAGCCTCTTCAGTGCCTTGCCCTGAGCTTCTTCAGTGTTCCCTCGGAGATGCATGCCCTGTTGTTCTTCCATTTCTGGCACTGAGGAAACTGCTGCTCTTACTGCAGCCTTTGCATGTCAGCATTCTCCACATACACTTTATAACACCTGGCAAAAGACATGGTTTCTTGCTGACTTTGTGAGGGGTGGAATTATGAAGAACAATTGAGGGAAAAGTAGGCATTTCAGAAATGGGATGTGAGAACTGAGTAAGCTGTGAGAGATGCCAACATCAAAATACTGATGGAGCCAAGGCAGTGAGATCTGAGGAAGCCAGAAGCAAGCTGCAAATGCTGAGGAGCTGCAAGTGGATGCAGAGCTTTCCAGAAATCCTGAGAAATGCCTGCTGTTTGGATTTCCTATGGTAAGTTTCTGGAAGGTCTGAAATAGCTAATTCCTCCTGAAAAATTATACTTTGCTGAGTTCTGTTCCCTGCCCAGTTTCTTCCCTGAAAATTGAGTAAAGTTTAGAGGGCAGAGAAATTCACATACAAGATAAATACAAGGTAAATCGTGCAATTTGAAGACTTACGCATGCAGCTTTTCCAGCAGCAGAATCAGAGCTGGTCGCACTAAGTGCTGTTGCTGCTATCAGAAAACAGACACCTATGGCTGACACAAGCCAAATGTTCTGCAAATATAAAAAGATGAGTGTTACAGAATTGTTGATATTCTACCTGAAAAAAAGAACAAGCATCATAACAGCAGCTGAGTTAATCCCACCAGTGAACTTATGCTTTGAAACTCTCAAGCTTCAGAAAAATACATCTTACAACTACATCCCAAAAACCATTCAATATTAACAACTAATTAAAAGAGCCTGCATTAGATATGCCCCTGGTTTTGTCTTCTGCAAGAACGCCATTCATTTGATCTAACTTTTTTCACAATCAAACTCAAGCTCAGGTCAACCATTATTCCCCTATGTAAAACATCTGGGAAATCAGAAACCTGTAAATGTGCTCATTCAAATCTCTTACTACACTCCCTTATCTGTATCTTCACATAAAAAAGCCTACTGTTTGCTCTGAAGACAAATAGGAAGGGACACTCGTAGAACAGTACAATATTCTCACTGACATTACAATGCACCTTTGTGCCACTGTTGGGTCTTCTGAAATACAAAAGAGCATAAACTGTAATGAGTATGACTATTCTAAAAAGGAGCTAGGCTACATCAATTATGAAAATAGATAAACAGGCAAGTTACAAGTATCATGCTGGCAGTAAACTGTGCTCCATATACGTGCATAGATGTGACTACTATGCAGTAGTATTAGTCTGTGTGAGAAACTTCCACACGGGTCCTAAAATCCTGCAGTTAACCACCACGACAATTTGGAAAAGTCAATATAAAAGGGACTCTCAAAGTTGATTCAATCTTTAAAAATAATCTACTTTAATCTACCCTTTAAATAGAGAATAAAAGGAGATCCATTCTGCATAGCCTTTTTACTCCAGAGTAGTCTTTCAGCACTTATAAGATTTGTTAAAAAAAAATAAAAATAAATTAAATCCTTACCACATTCCCTACTTTATCTTTCCCAAATACTTCATATGCATTAGTGCAATACACACACAGGATCAGAAGGCTCAAAAGAAAGGCAGCGCAGCTTATGAACTCAAAGAAGTAAAGTCCACCACAGTTGACACAATTCTCCACCATTTCTTCACAAATAACAGCCAGAAGAGAGAGAATCTGCAAATGAATAACATGCTTGACTTGGATCAAGTCTCCAATATCTTACACAAACATTAATATGATATGAACATCAATAAAGGCAGCTGTAAGGAAAATCCTCCATGTACAAAAGAACCCAGTAAAATTCTGCACTATTTTCTTACAGGCAGGAAATAATTATTTCATAGGATCATAGCATGGTTTGGGTTGGAAAGGACTCAAGATCACACAGTTCCAAGCCCCCTGCCATTGGCAGGGACACCTCACACCACACCATGTTGCCCAGGGCTCTGTGCAATCTCGCCTTGAACACTGCCAGGGATGGAGTATTTACCACTTCCTTGGCAACCTGTGCCTGTGCCTCACCACCCTTACAGTAAAGAACTTCTCCTGTTTAAGTTTAAACCAATTAACCCTTGTCCTATTGCTACAGTCCCTGATGAAGAGTCCCTCTCCGGCATCCTTACAGGCCCCCTTCAGATACTGGAAGGCTGCTATGAGGTCTCCATGCAGCTTCTCTTCTCCAGGCTGAACAGCCCCAATTTTCTCAGCCTGTCTGCATGGTTTATACTTGCTCTTAAAGTTGGTCAGTAAACTACATTCAGAGGAGCTGAGCACACATCACCTAATACAGGCTTTTTGATTAGACTGTCAAGATTCACGATTTGTGGGTTTGTGCAACTGTCAGTTGGAGGCAGATGAGGAAGGCAGTGTGAAGGCACACATCCTGCTCTGAACAGGCTCAAATGCTACTGCTCACTACTTACAACTGCATTTAATTTTAAATGCATTTGGGTCCAGGGCTGAGGGGGAAACTGGACAGTACTGACCCAGTCAGCTCCCTCCCCCGAGAGTTTACAGCTGAAGTTACCACCCTTGCTAACACTTCCAAGAAAGCATATGTACCTAATAACTCAGTAACAACAGCAGCTCAGCTGCTACTTTATGTTTAAGCTATGCTGGACAGTGTTTAAGCTATGCAGAAGCTTATGTTCACCTTCGTGCTACTGTGTGTTTTGAGGGAATAATGCAAGTTCATTCCTATACAGTCACCATTCATCTGCTGCTGAATTTTCTACTATTTTAGCATACAGGAATACTGCTTTATTTAAACGTTCTCTGATTTTGGCCACTTCTTGCTTTTCCTTGATCCCATAGAGTTGTCACAGCATTATAGTAAGGAGTTCACAAAATTAAAACAAGTAGTAGTAGTAGGAATCAGACTCTGTCATAAAATAGAGACTGATACAAGGATGATGATCATACTTTTAATAAAAGTATATTTTAATAAGAGTATAAGAACATATTTTTAGTAGGAGTATATAGGCAATGATGAAGCTGATGGGTTTTCTTAAATAATCAAATTCTAAAATTCAGAATTGTTCTTGAAAATAACCACCAGCCTTGGGTTTCAGTTTTCTGACAACAAAAATAACAACAGTTTAGCATGTGGGAATTGTAAACTTCCCCAGCTAAGCCAGACCATGCAAAACACTTCAAAGCATCATGTTTTCAAAATGCTGATCATAAAGTAAACAGGATCTCAGAAAGGGGAAGAACCTGAGCTGGGAAACTGCAATATTACTATCAGGCCTCCACATACTTCCCTTCTGTCCCACAGCAGCTGGCAAAGCAAACTCTTCAGCAGCTCTCATACCTAAGCCAGTGACTACAGTGGGTGAGGAATATGTTGAACTCTGAATTTTCAATCTTTAAGTGTTATTTTTATTTCAAAAGATTTGCTTTCAGCTGTGTCCAATGACTTTCCCTTTCACATTTTCCACAAGGTCAGCTGAAGTGAGAGATACGCTTTCAGGTATAGTTCTAGCTCTTTTTATTAACACTGAAAACTGAATGCCATTCCCTTCACCTAGGATGCAACAGTAAAAAAAGGAAATAAACCTCCCCTTAAAAGAATTTATAAGCCCAGATAACCATAATATGAACTAAATAACTGAAAAAAAACCTTCTCCACTGAGTGTACAAACAAGTAGAAAAAAAGACTCACTCAGAGAAAAGCTATAAAGGGTTCAGTATAAAATACATGAGATTTAGCAATTGGAGTCCTATGTGGGACTTGTCCAAGTCAATATTCATTTTGCATTGATAAGCTGAATAACAAAAGAGAGTACATACTTAAAAAGCTTTGGCTTCAAGAAATTTGATTAAAGTAGTGTATCAGCAGCACATTTATAAGCTGCCAGAGAGCTCTGCTTGCGTTTCTTAACTTGCTTCTTGATACCAGTATGAGAAACAAAAGGGATTACTGTTTTTCTACTACAACAAAAGAATAGTTTCAAATACCACTAAAAGAATAGTTCCTAACTTCAATTTATATGCTTACAGCTATATAATATAGCAAGAAGTTTTTACTAGTATTAGCCAGAAGATTATGTCTCTGATTAGTACTCATCTGCATTTTAGTTACATCCTGCTATTAGATATACTGCTGCTTTAACCAAGCCAGAAGTTTCCACATTTCATTCAGTTTCCCAAGAACTGTTCTGCCAGTGATCCAACTTTGTCCATCAGCATTAGTCCTGGAATGAGTGCAGGCCTCTACAGGCTTACATGAAGCAGCCAAAGCTCCTTCTGTTGTTTTTTTTTTATCTGCCTTCTCCACACCAATCCCATAGAGAAGCCATAACAGGCAATGCCCAGAATATCACTACTGCTTCTGCCAATAAAGAGTGAAAAGGCGCAGGTCAGCGACTCCTCATTTTCTTGAGAGCAAAACCTGGGCAGAGTTTCTTTCACCCTGAAGCCCAGGGCAAGACCTGAAGACAAGACCTGACAGCTGCCACCTTCCTTCCCTCTTGCCCAGAGCCCTGCACTACCAGCATTGGTGGGCAGGCAGAGCTTACCCAGCACATGGGTCAGGGCACAGTTCAGAGCCTGCCCAGGCTGCAGGGTGGAGACACAGTTTTTAGTCCTACCTGTCAATATGTATACCAGAAATCAACCATCTTTATCTGCCCCCTACCAGCAAGAAGTTATTCATTAATACTGACATTAATGTTGGAAGTTTCTACACAAGTGTCAAGTTTCTAAAGTAGATTTAGCAAGTGAAAGACTATAAATGAGTGCTATGGAAATAAAGCATATCAATGAACTTTCCAGCAGGCCTGTGAAAATGCTCAGCAGTGCTATTCCCAGTACAGAATCGTCTCATTCAGATGGGTGCACATACTAATCCTGTAAGTCTCCACAATCAGGACTTCCTACTATAGGAAGAGAATAACTTAGAAAAAGAGATGTTTAAGACTGAATTACAATTTTCCTTTCCAGTTAGGGCATTTTAGGTGAAGTCAAACAATAGTTGATGACAAGGATTTCTGCTTTAGGTAAGAGTTTGTTTCTACCTCAATCTTGGCACAATATGTGCTGTGCCATTTACCTTTATGCACAATCTGAACCAGACATGGATTAACAAAAACATTTCACCTATTTAAAAAAAAAAAAAGAAGAAAACAATATAGAAAACATGGGTTTGGTCACATCTATAATGAGGACCACTGATTTTCTGAGTGCAATGCCCTGTTCCACAGTCCACATGAGTGATTATGAGTGCATAATCACAATAACTGCCACTATTCTTGTGACACAAGGCTAATAGATTTTAATGACCAGCATCATTGCTGGCATTTCCAAAAATTATCACTTTCCCAAAACAGTAACATTTTTCTGACTGCAGATAGTGAGGCTTCCACCTTTAGGAATTTCTGAGGATGTTTAAAGTGTTTTGACCAAGAACTCCAAGATCTGTGCATTTTGATAGAGGGATACAAAAAAGGAGGGGGAAAATGTTGGAAATTAGGAGGTGAATGACTATAACTCCATTTTCATTTTCCTCTCATTGAAGCATAGGTATAGGCCATAAAGTGCTATTTCTAATTCTTTAGAAGCATTATCAAGCACCTATTCATCCTATTTAGGATAACCATATTTTTCCTTTTTTTCCTACCCAGAAAGCTTTTTAGGTAATGCCTCTGTTCAGGTAAACAGTTTAAGACTTTAGTACACCAGTACATTTGTGTGATAGTTTTAGTTGGTAAGCCTACTTACATAAATGCTCTGAGAGCAACAGATCTATCTAGCTGCAGATCTTACCTTATGAATCTCCAGTACCTGATGTAAAAGTTTATGTCCTATTTTATTTACATATTTAAATCATTCTCAAATGTGATTTCTTTTTATTATCTCAGACAACATTTTCTTGGCAGTGTTACTGTTACTTTTACAAGGATTTAAGAATACTACGTTTCTGGTTGAGGCCTCTGACTGTGTGTGAGACAAAGTTTAAAAACCAAACATCCCTTTTTCTGCAACGCTGCAGTAACGAGAAAGGGTTGGAAATCACCTACGATTCCCCTGAACATGAGACATCTGACTAAAAAGCCACTTTGCTGCTTGAAAAATGTATCCTAACAGATAACTTAGGGTCAACTGCCCTTTCTTTCCTGCTGTAGGTTTCACTGCCTCCCCCCCCAGTACTCAAGAATGATGCTCCTTGTGTTCCTACCAGCAGTCACACTGGCCCACCGCTGAGCACCGAACAGACAGCAGTCTGAATCATGTGCCCAGCTGCTGAATCCATTCAGGAATAACATTCCTGAGCAAAACGCAAGCAGGATGCAAGTCTTCTATTTCCTAGTGGGCACAGGACCATCCAACATGAAGTGAGGCACTGCAAAGTCTCATGCAATAGGCCACCATCAACATTGCACGTTTCTAGAGCAATTTTCTACCACGAATCATGGCAGAAATGAGTGCTCTGATTTTAGCAGGGCTAGCACAGCATGAAAAGCTTATAAATGGGGTGCTGGAGCAGCAAGAGAGGGAGGTTAGGATCTGACAACTCAGCAAGCTTTTCCTAGCTTTACTGTCCTACCCTGAGATTCAACCAAACGCTTCTGTTTTGAATCCAACATGGCCCCAAGAAGAAAATACAAAGTTTCCTGAGAGGTTTCTCTTTCATTTAAACCACTATGACAGCAGGCAGCTGCACCGCAGCTTGTGCAAATAACCATCAAATGTCATGAACCTTAGTCAACCAACCATCAGATGTCAGCACCTGCTCTGGTAGCTAGAACATGAAACAGGAACAAGCCCATTACTTCACCACCATAACCTAATCTGAACCTGTAGAGATGACGGCACTGTAAGAGACCACATCTGCTTTCCATCTAAGTTACAAGTCTGTTCAGCTTTACTGACCAACAACAACGGCAGGCTTTGCTTCTGCAACGCCTAAAGTCAGGTTTCCTGGTGGAGCGAGCCCTTTCCTGACACACATAACCAACTAACAACCTGAAGTTACGTCCACCTTTACCGGCCTGCACTTTGCCAGGGCAGAGTTTCACTTGTAAGCGGCGGGAGATTGCACTGAAGCCGGAGGTCTCCGTAACTCACCCGTTCCTGTCCCAGCGCTACCCTGTGGGCAAGCAGGGAGACCTGCAGAGCAGGCGGGTGGGAGCGATGATACGGCGGGAGCGCGCCCAGCCGGCGGAGCGGAACCGCGCCCTCTGCTCTCCCCACCCGCACCCCGCCGCCGCCCGGCCCCGCGCACCCCTTTGAGGCTCTCGGCCTCTCCCCGCCTTCCCGGCAGCCATTCTGACAGTGGGTGCTCGCTGCGCGCAAGGTCCCGGCACGACCCCAGCCACCGCCTGTGGAAGCGCGCGGGCAGCCCGTCCGCAACCGCCACGCTGGCCTCGCTCCCTCCGAGCTGAGGAGAGCAGTGCAGCGGCGTGGAGCGGGGCGACTCACCGCTTGGAGCGCTTTGGCCGGCAGCCGCCATCCCCACAGGTGCTGCAGGGTACATCCGAAGCAACGGGAGGGCTTGCCCTGCGGCTCGGTGGTCTCGTTGTAGACGTTGCCATTGTCCATGGCCGAGCCGCCGCCGACTGCCAGTTGCGGGAAAGAGAAAGCAAAAGGGCGGCGGCAGCAGAGGAGGAGGAGGTGGTAGAGAAGGCGGCGTCCCGCGGGGCCAAAGGCGCTCTCGCGCCCCCCGGTGGCCGGTGGGAGCGAGGGCTGCGTGAGGCGGGCAAGCAGGGCAGGGCCAAGGGCAGCGGAGCAAGGTCCTCTCAAGCCTGGAGCTGCTCCCAGCTTCGTAAGGGAGCTTATTAAGAAATTTACAAGATTATACCCTCCTGTTGCCACACGAGATTAGGGTATGGGGAGGGTTTTTTAAACCAAAGCTTTCTCTGCTGTCAGTCAGATAAAGCAGTAGCATCCCTTAGTCTCTACTAATATACTTCCATTACCTTGCCTAGATGAGTTTTTAAAAGAAGCTACAGCTTTTGGTGCCTGCAAAAGAGCAGATTGAGCCCCCTCTATGCAAACAAAAGGTGTGTTAAGTTCTCTTTTATATTATTCATGTTTTATCCACAGAACTATTACGGTCCTCTATAGGCAAGTTCAGTTATACTTCACTTACTTAAATCCAGTCAGATACAATCTACTGACCAAAAAGATGGCAATTTGCTTTCTTAACCATAGCTGTATACACGCTGAGGTGACAGAGCAGGCTGTTCAGGCACTGTCTTCATTTCAGAACCACACAGTGAATGGATGTGTGACTTGTGAGGTAGGTGCTATTTTTAACTCCACCAAGGGCCACTGTTAACTGCACAGATGGGACAGTATGGGCCAGATAAAAGCAGTCAGGCCATGCTGCGTGCTGAACAAGTACCAGCAGGCTGTGTGCATCACCTCTTCCAGTAAGACGTGTAGGGTCTCCAGGCAGGATGGTGCAGAATTATCTATGCCATAAACAATGTTTGCCTGCAGGAACTGGCTTGAGAGGCAAATGGGCAGGGCAGGTTCTGTAATTCCCAAGGCATGGGAGTTTTCACTAAAATAAGTAAGGCATCACCATGAGTGTGCCCTACCTTCTGCCCATTGGGGTTGGAATGAGTTTAACTGCAGGACCGAGCAGGTAGTCATTTACTGTTACCACCTATGAGTCCCCAGTGCCTTCAGTACCTTTTCTTTGTATTAGTACATTATAAATAAGATTACATTACATGGCTGGCATCTCTCTTCTGACAGAAATTACTTTTTTGCTTTGTTTTCTTCCTTGATAATATCTCAAAACTGGATGAATAGCTCTAATGCCAAAAAATGTGTGTTTAGGCTATGCAGTGGTTTGAGGGAGACAGCGCTTAATGACAGGACAAGACAGGAGATAGAAGCAAGATAGTTCTTTTAAGGTGTTTGGTAGCATCTAAGGCTATTTAGTAGTTCTTTCCTTTTGAATCATTACCAGTGTCTTAATGCAAAATTGCTAGATCATGAACATAGATGTTAGTATTCAACACTGCTCTTCAAGGAGTCATAGAAGCACAATTGCTGAGGTGAGTAGCCCGAGAGAGGACGCCTTCAACACCGGAGCAGGGGGGGGAGATCAGCGTCCAGGAGCCTCAACTCAGAGCGACAAGAGCCTGCCACTGAGGGAGCCCCGAGCCCTCGCCAGGCCCCGCCCAGGAGCCGGCAGCTCAGCTGACGAGAGCGAGCAGCTGACTCACACGGGGCGGAGCCAGGAGCAGCGGGTAAAAACCTGCCCCGGGGAGCGCGGCGGACAGAGCGGGCGAAGAGGGCGGGTTGGAGCCGTTCGCGCGGGCAGGCGAGCGGGACGGTGAGCACTCGTCGTATGAGCAGGGCTCGGTGCGGGAGCTCTGCTCTGGCTGCCCCGGCGGCGGCCAGCGTAGGCACCCAGACAGAGCCGGTGAGAGGGGAGGCTGCAGTGCAGAGCTCGGGGTGCAGAGAGTGCCTGCACTGGTCTGGTGAGGGGAGGGTGCACAATGGGCAGGGCTGCACTCGGTGCTTCCTGGTGGAGGTCCTCCTGCAGCGGGGGCTGAGCTGTGGGATGCTGTTAATAGGCTGCGAGGTGTCAGGGAAGCTGAGAGGAAGCAGGAATGCTTGCTCCTGGCCCAAACTGTGCAGGGGCCTCGAGCTTCCCGTCTAGCTCATGGAGGAAAGAAGGAGGCAGTTGACCCGGGAAGCTGGGAAATAGTGACCAAAAAAAAGAACAAAAAAAAGAAGAAAAAGGACAACCAAAAGCAAGGGGCTTCCCCCTAAATCCCCTGTCCCCACACAGAACAGCTTTGCTGTCCTGCGGGGGACTAATGAAACGCACTCGAGCCAGAAACAGCTGGCTGATGCCCTGGTAAAGGAAGATCTCTGCTGGTGCTCCTTCTGTTTATGTGCTGCAATTCACAGAGTTTTCCAGAAATTTAGGTCTTTCTTACCCTTCCACAGCCTCTGCTGGAATGGCAGGATCAGAGCTAAAGACAAGACACAGTGGCAGGGAAGCAGGCCTGGAGTTAGATCATGAGCTACAGTAACATGCCCAGGCAGAGAGTGGGAGATCAGTGGAAGCAGGTTTATGACAGGTGACCTACTTTTCTAAGGCCCATCCAACCTGGCCTTGAACGCTGCCAAGGATGGATCAGCCACAAATTCTCTGGACAACCTATGCCAGTCTGTCACTACCCTGCTAGTGAACATTTTTTTTCCCTAATATCTAATCTAAATCTACCCTCTTTCAGTTTGAAGGCTGTAAGGTTTTCCAAGGCTAGTTTATAAGGTGGATACAGGCCAGACTGCATCACTGTTTCCAACAAGCGATGCCCTGTTGGCTCGCTGGCACTAGCATGCTGTGGTACAGGATGACGGCAGAGCTTAAGTCCCTCACACTCAGAACTGGCAGCAGGGCTCCACTGACCTCATGAATGAACAGTCTCCTTTTCCAATGTTCCTAAATGCAGTTATGGGATTTTTTTGCTTGTTTTCTCAGAGGGCAAGTGAAGAATGAAGTAGAGGAATGGGAAAGCAACTGCAAAGCCCAAACCACTGAAGGAGCCAGACCCAGTTTCTTTAGAAGGGTGGTGAGGTTTTATGCTACTGCACAACCTGGGGAGCTCCACTGAAGTTAGCCAGTCAGAGGCGCAGCTTTCTCCCTGGCCTTGGGTCTGGTGCTCCCACACAGGCACCTCAAGAGCCTTTGTTCATGACTGTTGCCCTGTGTGTTACATGAAGTAAATACAGGATGACTAAATGGAATATTCCAAGTACTGTAACAACAGTTCAGAAAAAGACTTGAATGTGTTGCATCTGCTGAAGCATCTTCAGCTCTGGAGGCTCTATTTTTGGGCTCAGTATTTTAACTAAACTTCACAAGCCCCGATCACCATACTAACATGCTAGAATGTGTGATTTTTAAACAGCTGAAGATGAAGAACTGGCATTTTTAACAGCTATTTCCAAGTATCCCTTATGGCACAAGAGAAGAAAACCTCTTGATTCCCCACATTTCCCAAAAGCAGGGTTAGGCTCACTCTTGTCAATGGTTTGCTGCATATGTCTGCATGGCACGGAGCACAAAGCTGTGAGATTCAATAGGCAGCAGTTCTGCAGCTGCATGTGTCTTACTGCAAATTAAGTTTCCTCCCTAAGAAGAGACTTCAGCCCAACAGATACTTGCACTTCAGATGTATTTCTAGAAATTTAAGGTTAGTGTAGTATGGTGGTTAGTCCATTTAACCTAGAAGTCACCTGCACATTTTGGAGACTTCTATTTTCAAATGAAAAATATGAACTGTCTGGAAATGAAGTGGCCTTTTACTTGGAATTTTCCATCTTAAAATCCGTAGAACAGCTTTATTACAATCAGTATACTCAAAGAACTGATATAGGAACATGTAAGAGAGAAGGAGGAAGAAGAGATTTGTGAAATTCCCCTAAATCAGTTTAGTTTGAAGCGAATCAGCTTTGTCTACACAGAACTAGCTCTGAAAGTGTAAAGGAATTTATTTAGTTTATTCATGTTGCAGTGTTTTTGCAGTATTCACAATGCAAAGCACTTAAAGTGTTAATTGCTCTTTATCAAAAAATCACCCCCTGCAGTTCTTGTATTACCCCTTTGCTTTCTGCATCTTGTGTGGTAGACTGAAACTGTACCAAGTAACACCAAGTATTAAAGGCACATGAGAGTGATCAGAAGGAAAATCATTTATACCATTACTCTTTTTAAAATTGGGGTCATCACAAACCTAACCCATACCCAGCTTGGGTGGTGAAATGACAGTAAGGATCCCTGACAAATTAGCTTTATTCAATTTATTTCTTACTTGCCTGACTTGTGAAGGAGGGAAACCGGGGAGAAGGATGGACTAGTACTTCACATCTTGTGAAAAAGGCCTCCTGTCACAGAGACTCATTTTACATTATAGTTCTGGTAAAACCCCCCTTAGTTGCCTACTCTCATCAAAGCAGAAGGCAACTTAAGAGAGCAAAGCAAGCAGCTCAGTAGTCTTGGTCTTACCAGAGAGAAACAAGCCAATGCCATCAAGTTACACAGAAACACATTCTCCGACGTTTCCCTTTTGTGATAAAGGTACCCTGAAGTCTTTTTTTTTTTTCCTCCCAACAGCATGAGCAGGCTGCAGAGAGAGTAAGCAGTGGTAAGAGAATTTGAACTTGACATTTTGGAGGGAAGCAGGCTGCTTTAGTCTTGTAGAATGAAAAGGCATGTTAGGGACACAGCCTCTTTGTAGTGATAGGACAAGGGGTAATGGGTTAAAACTTAGGGGAAGTTTAGCTTGGATATAAGGAGGAAATTCTTTCCTGTTAGGGTGGTGAGGCACTGGAATGGATTGCCCAAGGAGGTTGTGAATGCTCCATCCCTGGCAGTGTTCAAGACCAGGTTGAACGAGGCCTTGGGTGACATGGTTTAGTGTGAGGTGTCCCTGCCCATGGCAGGGGGGTTGGACCTAGATGATCTTAAGGTCCTTTCTGACCCTAACTATTCTATGAAATAACAAAACAAAACCAAAAGGAACAAAAGAGCCATCAGGGTTTAGGGAAGACATAATCTTAGAAGCTTTAAATATGCAGAAGTAAAATTTTGCCAACCTTATTTTGAGAAGTGAAATTATGAGTCGTAAGTAAGGCTTTCCCCTGTCCC